GGATAAATAATGACTGTTTCAAAAATTAAAGGCAGTCCAGCTTTGAAGTGCAGATACTAAAAGAGATCTCCCTGCTGATTCATATATACTTCACTACATTAGATGGGGATTTTTAATGCCTTGAAGGAATCTATTCCTGTTATTTATTGTTGTTTTTCTATTTGTTTCCGAATTTTCGACATTTTCAGGTCCTCCACCTCTTCCATTTCGGTTGATAGCTTTGTACGTGGCACCTCAGCTGCTACCACTTATGCACGAATTACCCTGCGATTCGGAAACACACTTCTAAAGGCAATATAAAATCTTGTTATTTTGGTTATAATTCACAATCCTAACTTCTCGCTTATCTTGTACTTCTCTGTTGTCAACATGTCATTTTACTCTTGTAAAATCAACTGGTTATACAGTTAAAGTGCGCTGAAATTATTTCACATTTGCTGTTGTTTTCAGATGTACAAGTAATGATATAAACGAACTCTATGGGAGGTCTGGATTCCGTAACGAAACTTATGTGAGCTGATGTTGTCGCACTTAATACTGTTGTCTAGACAGTTTGTTGTTGCGGGCTTTTCGTCCGCAAAAGTGGGCTACAACATATTTACTGTCCTTAGAAAAGCCGCAGACAATGCAGTTCTCCCAAGATGTGACACTGCTGTAAGATTTGAGAGGTCACCGTACATGTGTGGGCACATACCGCATTTACAACGCCCGAATCAGGCTAAAGCGCACTTACCTGGATAGAGTGCAAGTTGCTCCCTTTTGCACAAATCACTAAGACTGATTATGTCTAGTCAGATTTCATTTAAACACTCATGTCAGTTTCGCTGAGATTATATATCATTCCCAAAGAGCCACGGCTGTCATATTTTACCACGTCGTTTAAAAATAGGAGGATTAGGATAGAGCCAAGTGTGTTATCTCATATTACACTGCCATTTGTTGGTTGTAGTTGGCCGATTGTTCTTTTCCCGGAAAAAGAACCCACACAGGTGGGGAAGTGGCCCAGTTATTTCTTAGGGGCCTCATTTCCTGAAATTCACTCAGAGATTCGCTAACATCGAGGAATCATGGTCCCAATAAATGTCCCGTGTCTACACTTTCCGTTATGCGGTCAAAATAGTGTAGCTGACGAGCAGAAAGAACTACTCAGAAAACCATAATGGAATGATGACAGTATGTGATCGGGGAGTAGATGTTAAGCTATTTGACCCCAAAATCTTCATTACACGATAGAATACAGATATTATTTTGATGAGGCGGTAATTGACAACATCAGCAAAACCACTGCACACTCAGCAGGTACTGAACGCTCTTAGACATGATGCCTTTTTAAGTAAATTACTGTTCCACTAATTTCGTTCAGTTTCACTGCAATATAACTACCGTAGCCACAGATTAATATTGCTAGACTTCATAACCCTGAAGTTTGCGTACGCAAACACCCTTCTCTGGTTGATATTTGGGCTAGTTGCATTCTGGACTTCCAGTAGCAGTTGTCCAGAGCCACAGGGTAAAGCTTTCTAAGCCCCAAAGTCCGAGGGTTGGTAGAAAGTCCTCAGCACTTACGTTATATCCCGAGTAATCCCACAAATCTCCAGGTTTATCTATGGGTCAGTGATTTTGATCTTTAGGGCAGACCATGGGGTGATAGGAACCTCTCCAGATATTAGCTGGCTAGCCTATAAGCTTACTAGTTTTCCCGCCGGCCCCAAGCCCGGGTAAAGAGGGAGGGTCGAGGCGTGGTGCTAGCAACTCCACCCCTGTAAAACAAACAGATCGCTACAGAAACTTCAACGCACAAATATATCAAAAATTCTAAAAATATAAACAATAACCTTATTTTTTGCTGGAATCGGGGAAGCGAAATGACACAGGCTGGTGAAAGCTAGCCTTCGGGAAGCCAGTTAGCCGATGTGCCTTCTTTCGATGAAAGCAAAATAAGGATGGGCACTGGAATGTTCGTACAATGTACGAAACTGGAAAGGCTGTCCAGATAGCCGCTAAAATGAGAAGGTACAGAATAGAAGTGTTGGGAATCTGCGAGAGCAGATGGAACGGATGTGGAAGGTGCCAACTACTACCAAGTGGACAGACAGTAATCTTTTCCGGTCACCCAGAGGACAATCACGAGGACACCGAGGGAGTGGCCATCATGATGTCACCAACACCAACCAAAGCTTTCATGCAGTGGGAACCAATCTCCTCCAGGATAATGACAGCCAGGTTCAACTCAAAAGGAAGGAAAGTTACAGTCATTCAATGTTATGCGCCTACAAACGTCTCAAAACAAGAGAAGAAGGAGGCGTTCTACAGACAACTACAAGCAACAATGGACAACGTCCCAAATGGCGATATTAAAATCCTGATGGGCGATATGAATGGGAAGCTGGGAAGAGACAACACAGGAAGAGAACTCACCATGAGTCGTGAGGCCCTCGGTGAAGTGAACGACAATGGTAAACTCTTCTCAGACTTCTGCTCCCTCAATGATTTGGTGATTGGTGGCAGTGTGTTCAAACACAAGGATATACACAAGACGACATGGATTTCACCAGATGGAAACACCAAAAACCAAATAGACTTCATCTCAATTTCAAGAATGTGGAGACGGAGCCCACTGGACACAAGATCGAGGAGAGGAGCAGATGTGGGTTCAGACAGTTCACTATCTAGTACAAGGAACTTTCAAGGTGAAGCTAAAAGCCTCAAGGATAGCTGGGGATAGGCCACAACGCAAGTTCAACACTCGATTACTGAAGGACACAACCACAAAAGACACCTTCACTGCAACTGTCAGAGCAAAGCAGGAAACACTACGCGACATCACTGAAGAATCATGCGTGGAAGACCATTGGAACTCTCTGAAGGTGATTCTCAACGAAACATGTTCAACGGTTCCAGAAAGAAAGAAGAGACAAGACAAGGAATGGCTCTCGACGGACACTTGGAAGTTAATAGAGTAGGGGAGAATGGTGAAAGAGAAAATGATTCAATGCAAGGACGAACAGGAGAAGGAGACGCTGAGCTCAACGTACACAGCTGTGCACTGGACAAAGAATTGAAGGAGAGTGCTAGGAAGGACAAAAGACGATTCTACGACAACCTCGCCACTGAAGCTGAGAAGGCAGCAGGCAAAAGGGACCTGAGGACATTATATCAGATAACCATGTCTCTATCCGGGAAGAGATCAACACAAGCGACACTTCTAGAAGACAGCCAAGGGAACCCAATTACCAAGGAAGAAAAACAGATTAAACAATGGGCAGAGCACTTCAAAGGACTCTTGAACCGACCACCACCTACAACCCGTTCAGAAATACCAACAACAGCACGTACACAACTGCAAGCTGTCACCAATCCCCCAACGAGAACTGAAGTCTTGAATGCAATCAAGCTTCTGAAAGCTGCAAAAGCAGCCGGACCAGATGGAATATCCCCGAAGCACTGAAAGCGAACCCAGAGACTACAGAAGACATACAGACCCCATTATTGCAAAAGGTCTGGAAGGAGGAAAAGGTGCCTATAGACTGGAAGAAAGGTTACCTCGTGAAACTGCTACCAAAGAAGGGGGACTTAGGACTCTGCAAGAGTTGGCGAGGAGTCATGCTCCTATCGACGCCGAGTCAAATCCTGAGTCGCATCATCCTGGAGAGATTAATGGATGCACTGGAGACAGACCTCTGACCAGAACAAGGTGGATTCACGAAAGGCAAATCATGTTCTGACCAAATTGCAACTCTCCCCATCGTCATCACAGAACAAAGCATAGAATGGCGATCAAACCTCTACCTCATCTTGATCGTGAAGTAATTTGCAAATTACTCGAGTACTATGGCGTACAGTGACCCAAATATTCATCAACCTTATTAAACATATGTACGACAACGGCACATGTCAAGTGATCCACAACGGCGAACTCATCGAGGCGTTTGGAGTAAAGACAGGAGTCAGACAAGTGTGCTTGCTTATTATCACCAATGATATTCCTAATTGTGGTGGAGTGACTGGATTATGCGTCAGACAGTGAGTGGGAAACGAGAAGACAGGAATATCCTGGACCGACGTGAAGAGCCTAGAAGATCTGGATTTCGCGTGTGGATGATTTATGTTTGATGTCACACACAATCGAAGACTTACAAGCGAAAACCGAAAAACTGGTCGAAGAAGCAGCCGATAAAGACAGGACCCCAGGTAAACATAGACAAGACCGAGGTTATGAAAATAACCAACCAACAACAGCAACAGCATCCTACGTCAATCACCATCAACGGGAGGGATTTGAAAGTGGTTTCTTTCTTTCACTTATCTAGGGAGCACTGTCTCAGCTACAGGAGGAACGGACGAGGATGTCAAATCGAGCGAGAATCGGAAAGGCGAGAAACACATTCATTCATCAACCTGAAACAACCAATCTGGAAATCTTCGTCACTCAACGTCATATCAACAACAAAATTCGATCGAATTTTCAATACAAACGTCAAGTCAGTCAGCTTTTCTATACGGATCAGAAACTTGGCGGGTCACGAAGAATACTTCCAGCAGCTTGTTGCAGACCTTTATCAACAACAACTGTCTCCGCTCCACACTGAAGATCAGATGGACGGAAAGAATCACCAACAAGGAACTATGGGAACAAACAAAGCAAGAACCAACCGCCCAACAAATATGCAGGAGAAAGTGGAGATGAATCGGTCACTCGCTGAGGAGACCGCTGGGTGACATCGCGCGTCAAGCCCTCGAGTGGAACCCGAAAGGCAAGCGGCGTGTGGGATGTCCAGTGGTGACATGGAGGAGATCGTGTGAAGAGGAGTTGAAAGAATATGGACTAACATGGATGGAGGTGAAAAGTACAGCAGAAGACAGAAGCAAGTGGAGACGTGCAGTTGAAGCCCTATGTTCCACTAGGAACCCAAGGGAGCAATAATAAATAATGATAATATTCATGCAACTCATCAAGGTTTGTTTTATCGCATCGAAGTTAATTACTCGTCTCGAATAGCAACGCTGATTTTATGAAGTGTTGCTGAAACTTATCTCTTTTATTTTTATGTTAATATAATGTCCGAGGATTCTGAAGAAGTAAGTAAACACTATGAATTTATATGGAAAATTTATTAGCCACAGGAATATTTTGAAAGGCTTTGGCCACTTAAGAGATATGACAAAATAATCGAGGTAACAAATGATTACAAAAATATATTTATCATGACTGTGATTTAAAGAGGCTCTCCACTCCAACTTTTAGTTGTAGCACGACAGAGAAATTGCCTCCATTGCCTCCTGTAGTGAAACCGGAGGCCCCATCTTCTCTCTATGCTGTATGTTGATGTTTTATGTTAATAAAAACAATTTGAAACAGATGGTAACGAGAAACGCCCGTCATCCTCCGTTGATGAACCCCTTTTCTTTGACACAAGCATCACCATTCAAGGAACAGGAGCACTGGCGTTCACCTAGCCAGTCTATTGGAAATAACTTTTCACCAAATGCTGCCAACTTATCTATGCGAAGTCTGGCAAAGTACAGCAACTTATCTAAAAACTGTGTGAAGAAAGACAAAGAAGACGATGTCTCCCATCGCAGGTAAAATTTTCACCATGTTGTTTGGCATAATAAATATCAACCAACCTAACGACTTTCACACAAACCCATAATTGTTTTGAGTTACCTAAGACAACATATTGTGTAGAACCTCGGAGACCTCTTCATGTTTAAAGCTTCAGTCTCGTGTCCCAGTGCTCAGAGAAAATGCTGGGTTATACACGGTGAAGCCCTTTTATTTTTTGTTTTGAATATGTTTTTTGACAATATTCTCCATAAAATTATGGATTTTCTGAAAGCAGGCAAGCAGAAGTTTACTTTTTTTTTCTGAATAACTTTGATTTCCGTATGTGGTTTCGAAAGATCACTAACTTCATTAATAATTAGTAGATCAGGCGTATAAATAATCTAAGACGCCATACTGTTTCATAGATAACACATGAAACTTGCTGACTGTTACCTTTTAAGAAAGATTAAAAACTTTTCTTACGTTAAACGTATTCGACTGTTTATAAATATTCTTCAAGAAACCCAAGAAGTACACATTAGTAGGTGCTCTTTAATCTCGAGTAATGGAGCTAAGATGGTAAGAGGAATACCTCCGTGGACTGTACCCATAAATTTTACTCTGCAGCTGAGTGGACATAATAACAATTGGCAGAGAAGTCTTTGCATACGCAGGTTCCAACAAAAAATACACGTTCAGAAGCTGATTACACATCTGTTTGAGTGTGGAGTATGTCGCATCATATACAGAATGCTGTAAAAACAGGGTTCTGTACCGATGGTTCATCTGTAACCAAATTAGTTCTAGAAGACTGATCCCAGAGGGTTGCAAAATTAGCGAAGAGCAAAAGTTACTCGAATTTAAGTTCGCTAGATATATTTGGAACGAATGCCAAGAGTGACGGATGGGAAAAGCAAGCAAAATAGACAGGCATCGGCTAATTAAGCTCACTGGGGTGACGAGTTTATGAAAATTTTGCTAGGGGAAATGATCTCTTAGAAAGATGATACTTTAACAGCCCTTAAGCAGAGATAGCTAAAAAGCTGCAGAGAGCCCTTTGGAGAGAACTTCAGCCGGACTACACCTGTACTAGAATTTCCTGTTGTTTTAAATCCTGTCTGAGAAAAAAATCAACAAAAGGTGCTTACAAACTAATAACATGGGAAGAGGTGTATGGTAGTCATTAATTATTCAACTGATCAAGTACACAACTAGTATGGGTGCATGACTGTAAAATAAGTTCATTAGATGGGTATAGATTGTTGGTCGTCCCACTGTATGTGAAAAGTGACAAGTATTCCAGAGATAACTACTGGGAAATGAGTTTGAATAACTCACTATCTGGCATCATAGATTTCATTGTCATACGAAGACTAAGTAGGACTCATTATAAACTAACTCAAGAGAAGTAGGAATGTTTCAAACTCCTAGGAAGGGGCATTGATTAAATCTTCACCGCCCTACAGATTCTAAATAACACACTCACTAAGAGGAGTCTGACACTTATCATGCTTCTTAACCAAAGGTGACATTCATTTGCTTCGAATGAGTTATGGAAGTGGAGCAACGTGATGTGAGTGAGAACGAAGTATGCTGTAGTGATTCTGACTCACTCAACAGTCTAGATGTATGTGGAGGTTTATTCTTTGAAGTGTTAACGACTGGTATTGCCTATCATCAATATCTACTGTCGTCATTCTTATTTTATTACAATTTTTTTATTTTTCAATTACATGGTCTGTGGTGAGAATTCACCAGGTTTTCCTTTGGAAACTCAAGATGTTTTGACAACCATATGTGATTTGCGTGATATCATAACCGTTATCATAGAAGCAAGTGACATAGTGTGATTATTACGAGTGGTTTAAAACCACTAACTTCAAGCTGTAATATCTCCTACCTAGAGATAAGTGATCTAACAACCGGACAACATTTTGGCATGTTAAGAGTTGAACTCGCAAGTGGCGTACTCAAGTAGACTGTGCTCAGATGTCCCGATTGCCACCTGGCACGACTAGTTTCCAGTCACTTATATCACTCAGTAGTCTGTGGCATAATGTCTAGTTAATTTACCTTTAACTCTTGACCTCCTTTCTAGAAACTGACTTCATATGGGGTTAAGGTTTTGTTGATTAGTGTATGCAGGTGATATAGTCCCGTAATGTAAAGGTGTTGATAAGATGCACAAGAAGATATTTGACATGTAAATCATTGCTGTCAAATGTAAGATAATGCTGCAAGAACGTTCTGAACTGACACCTAGTTAAGGTGTGTGGAGCAGTACACTCTATTAATCACTTCACTTATTAGGTAATTCTTACCAGCCGCAATGTACTGACTCGTTGTTCTCCAAATCTCAGTGGGTATATGCAAGGCTAGTTGAGGTTCAGCAGCTTGCATCATCTTTATGGCTTTTGGAAAACTCGGCTATCTATCAAATGAAAAGTAAGCTGAGCTATAGTTCAGCCTGTCCTACTACACGGCTGTAAGATATGACAACCAAAATTATAAGATATCAAAATACTAGTCGCTTATATCAGGCAGATCATCGTGGAAGGTGCGTCGATGGAGCAGAGGTTAGGACTCTCGCCTACCATGCACTTGGTCTGGGGTTTGGTCCCCTGCCGGCGCACACCCGATATCAATAGTTGGCCTGCAAAATTGGGCTACTGACATCTCATGCTGAAAACTCCATACTTGTACCAAAAATACAGTGTGGAATCAAGCTAAAGTTAAAGAAAAAGAAGAGCGGCGTTAAGTAGGCACAGAATTTTCATCATTTAGAATGTTTAAGGTATGTGCTGTGTATTTCCAGACTGCCTAGATTAGCATTTTTAACTTGGGTAGAATAAGGTCGGGAGGGAATTATAAATAATTAAACGAAAACATGGCATTTGTCTATGAAGTTATCGGTCGTTGGGTTAAGCAATGTGAGCAGGTATAGAATTCTGAGCTTGAAATGATACGCTTCTGTGTTAAGTTCTACGTTAATTCATTGGTCAAACAATTTTGTTTAGCACAAATGAATGACTGGAGCAAATCAATTCTCTTATAACTAATCCATATGTTTGGGACACTTATACTTTTTCATCAACCACATAATACTCAAACTGCGGAGAAGACTTAGATATAGTGAAGCGTGAAACTAGGCTTATCTACAACTAACGCCGACTCATGTAGTCATCCCTCGTTTGTCTTAAACCGCATAACAAGGCGAATTATTTCTTTGTCAAGTTGGAAAGTAATCAGAAATGTACTACAAATTCCCGGAATTTATCCCTGAATTGTATTGTATTGTTCTTTATTAAAATACACCAGGTTAGGGTTCCTGTGTTAGGACATGCACTGTCAGTCTACACTTTTAGACCACCATTAAGGTACAGAAAAGTAATGATGTGCATAAATGAATAAACATAGATTCTCAGAGAAATCGATAAGTGGATCGTGTTAGCCTACAAGGTATTATTCAGCCGGAAATCAGTGAAGATTATCTGGTGTAATACAGTATGTTCATTCTCAATGGGTTTCTTAATTTTTAAAAGTGAAGTAGAAATGAGCATTGATTGCTGAAATTTATACTGTCTATAAGTAATGGCATGCTTTTACGTCTTTTATAATTAAAAAATTATATAAACATAAGACCGGATCAGAAGTGTAGACTTTACGGTAATCTGATGGCTAAGTTCCGAATAAGTAGTAGGTAAGCATTTAATAACTGATATTATATATATATATATATATATATATATATATATTCAGACTGGGAATGATGTAGAAGACAACACCACTGCAAAATTAAGAACCAGAAGGCGTCACTACACTAAAGCCAAAAGAGTTCGTCAAATGTAGAGGCTGTTTTCATATTTAGTCTGGGGTATATTTTTCTGGAACCCACCTCTAAAATCCCACAGTCTGAGTTGTAAAATAGAAAGTAACACAGAATTGAAGAGAGAGGAGAAAGGGACTCAGAGGTACTATAATACGCATAAATGTGAGGGAGAAAGAATGATAACATGGGAAAACATTGAGATTTAGAAGATATTTTAGGTCACAAGAGTGAGGGCATCTGAGCCACTTAGAACGATTTTTATCCATATCTTTAATAGTCATTAGTCCTTAGTTGTTAGCATTCTGAAGACCACAACTAGAAAGCCTACACTTCCCTACATGGCTTAAAGCGTCAAATATTTCACGGACTGATGACAATTTTTGGTTTGACCACCTATAGACTATCTGCCAAACTAATCTTATATCAACTAATACTGCCGTCGACGAAGGTTATAACTTGGCGTGTGTAATACATGTCTTAGCTATCCCACTTAATGTAGCTGCACAGTCTCATCGATCGAAATATCCTCTTTACTTAACACTTGACTCCTAACTTCAATATTACACAGCATATTATACCAATTAACTTCATATCTTCCACTTTCACCGGCCATGTCTCACAGTTATACACGATAACCGGATATCATGTCTACTCCAGAGATGATATGGGTTGGCGGATGCCACATAAGCCTTTGTATCCACGCTAAGATTTCGACAGCAATAAGTCTATTAAGGCTGGTGGAGTAGTCAACATGTTGTACCACTTCATTGTCTATCTTTGAGCTATGAGTCACTGCAGTTCAAATCTACAGTGTCATTTTACACTTTATAGGGGTGAATCGCGTACCAAACGCTCGATGATTTCTGCTTAAGGTGTTCAGAGGACTGCATTTTGTCAGTATCTTTACCCAGCAAGACAATATCCCCCAGAATGCTATAATTTGAGGAGAGCGTACCCAGACAACAAGTCAATCCCCAAGTCGCCACAGTCAATTAGAATCAATTCCATAATTATATCAATTGTGAATTTAAATGCGAATGAGTTCATTGGGTATTCCTAATGGACACCCTTTTTTGTCATCACTTGTGCTGATGTCCTTCCATAAGCTATTACATGACTTCGCAAGTTCAAGTACTTTGTGTACTTTCTTGGCTACCCTCTTGTAACTATACACAGCCAGAGAACCTCTTGTTACATGGATTTGAATTCCTTATTCAGGTCAAGAAATATGACAATTATTGGAGGCAAGTTAATATAAGTTAGTTCCAGAATCTTTGGAAGGTTGAAGATATTCCCGA